GCTAGTGCTTCGAAAAAGTGGCATTATTTCGGGGTATGGAAGAATGAAATAAAGAAAGGAAGGAAGGAAGGAGAAGGAGAAGAAGTATGGAAGGTGGAAGAGAGGAAGAAGAGATAAATAAGCAATATATATATATATGTATATATTATATATATATATATATTATATAATATATATATATTATATATATATTTATATATATATTATATTAAAATAGAAAACGAGAATGAAAGTAAAAAGAAAACGAACGTGAAAGCATAGAAAACGACATACCAAAGGGACCATAAGGGGTAACTCATTTAAAGATTCAAACCACACACCTACTTTCAATAGGTATACTCTCGGATAAGGTTCACATGTTATTGTAATTTATTTATGTGTCCTTCGTTGTCTTTGGTCTCGTGTGAGAGGATCAACAATCTTTTTATTTTACCTGAAGGAGAGAAGAGAGGGTGAAGGAAGATGAGGAGGGGCGGGGGGAGGCGAGAGGAAAGAGGGAGGGGAGAGAGGAAAGGAGAGAAGGAGCATGAAAGGGAAAGGGATAAGGGATAAGAGAGGGAAGGGATATATTATATATATATATATATATATATATATATATATATATACATATATATATTTATCTATATACATATATTATATATATATATATATATATATATATATATATATATATATTATATATATACATATATATATATTTTCTATTACAACAAAACATTATTTCCCAATCGCTTCATTAACGGCGTCAGGCACGAGCTGTTTATATCGGTGTCTCCATGACCGAAAAAGGAACTTACTTATAAGTCCGAGGACGTCGGTATTACAAATAAAGGGGGGGGTCGTGAGGGGGAAGGGGAAAGGAGGGGAAGGGGGAAAGGGAGGGGGGGATAGGGAGGGGAAGGGAAGGGGGATAGGGGGAAGGGGAAGGGGGAAAGGAGGGGGAAGGGAAAGGGAAGGGGAAGGGTGAATAGTGGGGGGTAGAGGGAAGAGGGAAGGGGAAGAGGGGGAAGGGAGGGGAAGAGGGGAAGGGGGAAGGGGAAGGAAAGTGGGAGATGGGGAAGGGGAAGGAGGGGAAGGGGGGAAGAGGGGAAGGGGAAAGGGGGAAGAGGGGAAGGAGGGAAGGGGAAGGAGGGGAAGGGGGAAGGAGTGGAAATGAGAAAGGAAAGTGGGAGATGGGGAAGGGGAAGGGGAAAGGGCAGTGAAGGAAAGTGTGGGGATGGGGGAAAGTGGAAGATGGGGGATGGGGTAAGGGGGAAGGAGGGGAAGGGGGAAGGGAAGAGAAAGGAAAGTGGGAGATGGGGGGATTGGATGAAAGGGACAAGGGGGAGGGGGCGGAAGAAGGGGGGAAGAAAGTGGGTAAAGAGGAGAAGGAGGAAGAGAGAGAAAAAGGAGTGGATAAGAGAGCATAGGGAGAAAAATAGAAAGGGAAGGAGGAAGGGAAAATAGAAAGGTAGAGAAGGAAAGAAATGTTAAAGAGAAAAATATGTGCATGGACAAGAGAAAGGAGAGATCGGAAAAGGGATAAGAAATTATAGAAAAGAGGGAGAAGAATGAACGAATGTAGGAGGAAGGAGGAAAGAGGGAGAAAAGGGGTGGGTGAAGGGGGAAGAGGAAGGAGGAATAGAGAGAGAGCAAGTAAATGAAACGGAACGGACAGAAAAAAAGGATAAGAAGGAGAGAGGAAAGAAAAGGGGAATAGTGAGCGAAAAAGAAGAAACAGAAAGAGAAGAAGAGGGAAATGGGGACGAAGGGAAAAGGGTAAAGAGTGACAGAAGAAGGGGAGAAAGAGGGAAATGAAAAACAAAAAAGAGGGGGAAGGTGACCATGAAGGAGAGGAGGAAAGAATAGAATAGAAACGAAGAGAAGAGATAAAAGAGGAGACAAAATGGAAAAGTAAAAAAAAAAAAAAAAAAAAGCTAAATAAAAGTAAAAAATCAAGAGTGAAACAAAAGGAATGTATAAAAGATCGAAACAAAGGACAAGAAAAAACGAAAAAATCAGAAAAAAATAATTGACAGAAGACAACAAAAGAGAATAAAAGAGAAGACACGAAACAAGACGAGAAGAGAGAGAAAGAGAAAAGAAGAGAAGGAAAAGGGAGAGAACTAAAGAGAGGGAAAGAGAAAAAAAGAGATAAGGGAAGAGAGGAAAAGAGTAAAGGAGAAGAGAAGAGATAAAAGGAGAGAAGGAGAAAGGGGGAGAAGTGAAGAAAGAGAAAGAAAAGAAGAGAGGAGAAGAAGAAAAGAAAGAGAGAAGGGAGGTAAAGACAAGAGAAGATATATGGTGTGAGAAGAGAAGAAAAGAAAATAGAATAAAGACAATAAAGGACAATAGAAGAACAGATTAGAAGAGAAGAGAGAGATAGCGTGAGAAGGAAAGATAAAAGGAGGAGAGAAGAAAAGGAAGAGATAAGAAAGAAGAGAAATAGAAGAGGAAGAGAGAAAGAAGAGAAGAAAGAGAAAAGGAAGAGAGAGAGAGACAGAAAAGAGAGAGAATAAAGAAGAGAAGAGAGAGAAATAAAAAGAAAGAGAGAGAATAAAGAAGAGAAGAGAGAAAGAGAGAGAAGAGAGAAAGAAGAAAAAAGAGAAGAGAAATAGAGAGAAGAAAGAAGAGAGAGACTGAGAGAAGAAAGAAGAGAGAGACAGAGCGAGTTCACAGAGTCAGCGACGCACCTCGCGCAGTACTCTCTCGCCAAAAGTAATTTCTGCAAACTACTGAATATTGATGCACCGTCTTGAGTATGTGAAAGGAGTGAGTAATGCGTGGTCAGTGAGTCTAGCCTCCGATTCACCTCACGATCAGGGAAATCATGTGGAGGTTATGAGGCAACAGTCCACTCTCATTTTTTTTTTTTTTTTTTTTAAGGTGGTCGGGTTGAGTGATGGGGTGGGGGTGGGGGTAGTAGAGTGAGGGAAGGGGGAGAGGGGGTGGGATGGGATGGGGCATGGAGGGGGTTAGGGGGGGATGATGCAAGGTCTTTATCTGTGGCTTCTCTTGGGCTTTCAGTATTGCGTGCACACACACACCGATACACTGTATGTATATATACATACACATATATATATATATATATATATATATATATATATACATATATATATGTATATGTATATAAGTATATGTATGTATATACATATATGTATATGTATATATATATATACTATACATACATATATATATATATATATATATATATATATATATATATATATATATATTATATATATATATATATTATATATGTATGTATGTATGTATGTACATGCATGCATTTAAGTATATGTATTATATGTATATACATATATGTATATATATATATATATATATATATATATATATATATATATATATATATATTAATATATTATGTACATATTTATTATATATGTACACAGACACACACACACACTCACACTCACACTCACACTCACCACTCACATCACACTCACACTCACATTCACACTCACATTCACATTCACACTCACACTCACACTCACACTCACACTCACACTCACTCACACACATACACACACACACATACACACACACACACACACACACACACACACACCACACACACACACACACACACACACACACACACACACACACACACACCACACACACACACTTACACACGTACACTTCATACACTTACTTTATATTAATAAATTAAATTTATATTATATAACATTATATATATATATTAATATAC